AATGTGCTTGTATATAAATTTGTGAAAAACAAAACAACCCCAAAATGTCAAGAAGGACAGTAAAACATTTTCCAAGATATTTCAAAAAATGAATGGACATTGAAGAATGACTTGAAAGTATTCCAATGGTAAAATAAAATCTAAAGGTTAAAAAGCTCCTGAAGAAGGTGACATCGAAGTCCCTCCATGTCAGAGTGTTCTGGGAATGTCTGAAAAGTTTCAGGGGTAGTTAATCACTAGTCAGGGCTACAGTACTGTGGCTTAGTGGGAGCTTGACCTCTAGGGGTCCCTTCCAACACAAAACATTCTATGATTCTATGAGCTTCACCAGCTTTAAAGTCCATGAACTTTGAAGATGCAAATTGTTGCCCAAAACAGAGCAAAAGAATTTCATAGAATCATAGAATCGTTTAGGTTGGAAAAGGCCTTTAAGAGCATCAAGTCCAACCATTAACTTAACCCTGCCATCCCACCACTAAACCTTGCCCCTAAGCACCTCGTCTGCCTGGCTTTTAAATACCTCCAGGGGTGGGGACTCCACCACTTCCCTGGGCAGCCTGTTCCAGTGCTTGACAACCCTTTCTGTGAAGAAATTTTCCCCCCATTTTAATTTCCTATTAATCAAAATTAAAAGGAAAGAATTTAGCAATTGGCAGCAAAGATTCAAACTGCTAAGAAATAAGTGTGTACACCCCAGGAGCTTCTCCGAGGTGGTGGGGAGCCTTGGAGCAGTGCCCATATTTCCCAAGGGCTGCTGGCAGAAACATGGGGCTGCTGTGGCCGTAGTCTCACCCCAGGGGAGTGTGTTGGCTCTTGGCTCCTGGTTTTGGCATTGGAGATGTCCTGAGGTGCCCTGAGCAGCAGATGAAGCCTTTTGTTTCCTCCAGAGGGTGATGAGGGGGCGAGTGGTGCCCCTTTACCAGCTCTCTGTGGGACTTGCTGCAGTGGAGCTGGAGCTGTGGTGCCCCAGGGGACCCTGTCGGGGGTGTTGGGTTACTCAGAAAAATTGGGGAAAAGCTGGCAAGCTTGTACCGCTGCTGTTGTTGTTGAAGGCTTGTGAAGGAAAAGACTTAATTACCTCTTTTCGCATCACCCTCCTCTTTTTCAAATCTGCTTTTTCAAGCCTGTCCCATTTGGTGTTACATGCGCCGTATCTGAAATACCCAACTGCAGCCTTCACCTCATATGTCCTCCCCAGCAGGGATTTCTAACGCTGATAGCCCTGGCAGAGGGGCTGTAATTGTAAAGCATCAGCCTGGGCTTGATTTCTTACAGGCCTGTGTGTGCCCGCCTGTCCAAGATGGAGTTTGACTCCCTCGCCATTGCCGGGAGCACGAAATGGGTGTCCTTTCGGCGTTTGCTTTGGCAATCAGCACAGTCTCTTAAACTCCACTTCCCATAGATTAGCAGGCAATGTCTCTATGGAGATTTATTTTGACAGCTTGGGTTTTAGACAGCTTGTTCTGCATTTTGGCTTTGGCCAGGATGCCACATGATGTTAAAGAGCAGCTGAACTGAGTGGACATCTGCTGCCACAAAAGTGGCCATTACATTTACAGGCAGGCATAAACTGGGCTGAATTAAAAAGGCAACAAAATCCCACTCCAGTAGGGAACATAAACACAATGGCAGTGGCTAACACTGCTTAGGGGATTTTTTTTCCTTTACTCCCCCCATCCTAGAGAGTGGGTAGTCTCTCTACCCACTATTTAACCTGATTTTGATAAGTAATTCACTGCTAGTTTCTCAGGTTAATACTGAACCTTCTGGATACACTTGGGCTTTGGGAATATTTAGAGAAATGGCCTCTCAAGCAGCAAACAAACATCAGCCTGAAAACAGCCGGAGCATTGGCGCATGGTACTGGCTGACACCTCTTTTTGAAAGGCCTTTTTCCCAGCCTTGTAGAAGATGATAGGTGGGACTGGGGGAAGAGCTCACGAGGGAGAAAGAAAACAATAGCAATTATTTTTTTTTTTTCCTGTTAAACAACTAATTTATTTAATTTAGCGTATTTCTTTCCAACAAGAAGCCTGGGTGAAATTTTACTTGCTGCGTCTCAGGACATTGGGCACCTGTACTGTGCCCAAAGATGTACATGGATGGGGGGACACCACCAATTGTTTTTACTCCCTTCATAAACCTGTTAATAAATAATGCTTTTCACGAAAGATTTTTTTTTTTAAAAGATGTGATCTACCTGCCATGTACTTTAAGACCCTCCCTGTGGGCCACCGAGGAGGGGTGTGAAGGTGGAAAAGGAGGCACCTTCCCTGTAAGCAAAGGACATTTTTGCAAAGTTGGACCTTAGCAGTGGTGAATCCCTCCTGCTGGCTGGCCTGGTGCCAGAGGCGACCAACCCATCCCAAGTAAGTGGCCTCACTGGTGGCACTTTGGGTCACAAAGTGAGTAGTTGATGGTCAGCGCCATCACCTTGTGAATGCCCGGACAACACGACCAGACAAGCTATTTCTAACTAACTGTGTTGTATGTTGTTTACTGCTATTACCAAGTAATAATATCAGGCGTTATAATAAGATGTACCATTATAAAGTCATTATTAGAAAATAATAACAATAATGGTATTGTTTTATTAGGGAATCTTTCCACTGCAGACTGCAGAAGAGGACCAAGGCAGCGGTGAGCATGGTGTTTGTCTCCCCAGCGGCCCATGGCCGATGTGGGGTGGCCATGGGCTCCCCCTTAGGTGGCCAAGAAGGCCAATGGCATCCTGGCTTGTATCAGGAATAGTGTGACCAGCAGGAGCAGGGAAGTGATCATCCCCCTGTACTCAGTGCTGGTGAGGCCGCACCTCGAATACTGTGTTCAGTTTTGGGCCCCTCACTACAAGAAAGGTATTGCCTTGCTGGAACATGTCCAGAGGAGAGCAGCAAAGC